ATAAAAACATATGGCAAGCGAAAAGTAACCTTGAATTTCGGTCGTACTACCTCATTCCGCTGGGAATTCATTATCGCAGATGTATCCGTACCTATAATTGGTATTGATTTCTTAAAGAATTCTGACTTACTAGTGGATACCCGACGAAACCGGCTCGTGAACGGCGACCATTCAGTAGTGATAAGAGGAGTGACGGCTGATCACGCATCCATGAATTTAGTAGTGTCAAAAAACAAAAACGAGCCATATAGATCGCTTCTAAACGATTATGCCGATCTGACGAAGGTATCATACGATAACAGAGATCTTAAACATACGGTACAGCACCATATTATAACGAAAGGTCCACCGACTAAATCAAGACCACGAAGGCTAGACCCGAAAAGGTTGAATGTCGCGAAACGAGAGTTCGAAAAGTTGACGAAGCTTGGTATCATAAGACCTTCTAATAATCCCTGGGCGTCCCCATTGGATATGGTTTCGAAGAACAATGGGGAAATCAGGCCATGCGGAGACTATAGAGCCCTTAACAAGCAAACGATAGCAGACAGATATCCGATACCACATATCCACGACATTACTACCAATATGGAAGGTGCCACGATATTTTCGAAAATCGATCTCGTTCGAGCTTATTACCATATTCCCGTAGCGGCAGAAGATATATCTAAAACGGCTATAATTACTCCATTTGGGTTATTCGAGTTTTTGCGAATGCCCTTCGGATTAACTAATGCAGCTCAAACCTTCCAAAGATTCATCGATCAGGTCGTCAGGGGTTTGACAGGAGTTCACGCATATATCGATGATATACTAGTAGCTAGCTCTACCAGAGAAGAACATCTACAACATCTACGACAGTTGTTTACGAGACTTCAAGAACATGGCGTCACTATTAACGTGGAAAAGTGTGAATTTGGAAAGGAATCATTGCAATTCCTAGGTCATATGATAAATTCACATGGTATCACGCCAGTGCCGACAGAAGTTGCTGCTATTCGTAATTATCCGTTGCCCGATTCACAAAAAAAATTACGAAGATTCTTGGGGCTAATAAACTATTATAGACGATTTATCCCAAACTGCGCAGCAATATTACAGCCATTGACGGACGCCTTGCGAGGACATACTCGAACATTTCGTCTTTCAGCGGATGCTATATAGGCTTTTGAGAACGCCAAGCGAGCGCTAAACGAGATGATGTTGGTACGACGAAAGAAAGAAGCGCCATTAGCAGTAATGACAGACGCATCGAACTTAGCAGTAGGAGCCGTTTTGCAGCAGTTAGTAAACGGTGTATGGGAGCCACTTTCATTTTTCTCGAAAAGATTAAATCCTACCCAAACGAGATACAGTACGTTTGGAAGAGAATTGTTAGCAATCTACTTAGCAATAAAACACTTCCGTCATATGGTCGAAGGCACAAGTTTTACCGTCTATACAGACCACAAACCACTAACGAAAGCATTAAGCGCAAAGCAAGACAATTATTCCCCGAGAGAGATCTGATAACTAGAGTTCATTTCACAGTTCACGTCCGACATACAGTACGTTAAAGGACAAGAAAACGATGTGGCCGACGCATTGTCACGAGCAACGATAAGCACACTTATGGCAAGTGGAATTGATTATAACGGTCTAGCAAAGTTGCAGGAGAGAGACATCGAGCTAAATAAACTCAGATCCGGTGGTTCAACATCATTAGTACTCGAAGAGGTGCGGTTTGGTAACACGAAAGTAATTTGCGATACATCAACAGGCCGACCGCGACCATTTATCCCGAAAACGTTGCGACACAAAATATTCGAAAGCATGCACAACATGTCGCACCCAGGAATAAAAGCCACGATAAAGCTGATTAGTGAACGATTCGTATGGACAAACATGAATCACGATGTACGTAATTGGACACAAGCATGCAGGAAGTGCCAAAAAGTTAAGGTACATCGTTATACTAGCTCTGCAGTAGGTCCGTTTTCGCACCCAGACACTAGATTTGAACATATACACATCGATATTGTAGGACCACTGCCCGTTTCAAATGGATACAACTATATCTTTACATGCATCGATAGGTTTACACGATGGCCGGTAGCAGTGCCGATAAAAGACACCTCAGCTGAAACGGTAGCTAAAACCCTAGTTGAAAATTGGATTTCTTACTACGGTGTACCAACGATTATCACAACTGATAGGGGAGCACAATTTGAAAGTCGACTCTTTCAGCAGCTTACAGAACTCCTCGGTATTAAACGAATCCGAACGACGTCGTACCATCCAATGGCAAACGGAATGGTTGAACGCCTACATAGGCAATTAAAAGCGTCCCTTACAGCCGTCATCGTTAACAACGATTGGTCTAATAAACTTCCCCTAGTAATGTTAGCCCTAAGAGCAACAATTAAACAAGACATGGGGTGTTGTCCAGCCGAGTTAGTATACGGAACTACTCTGCGATTACCCGGAGAATTCTTCACTTCAAGTAAAAGTGTTCCGACTGATGTAACCGGCTATGTGCAACGTCTGAGAAAGCACATGAGCGATTTAAAAATAACACCTCCCAGGCCACAACAACGACGAGTATTCATACCACAGGAACTACATAACAGCTCTCACGTATTCATCAGAAGAGATAAAGTACAACCACCTCTTCAACCGAGTTACGACGGACCATTTAAAGTGATAGAGAGGACAAATAAAACGGTTACCATAGAAAAAGCTGGGAAGACAGATGTAATCAGCATCGATCGAGTAAAGCCAGCTTTCATCGATAGCGATAATCAATCAACAAGTACAGACTCATCTAAGATGGTCACACCAGCGAAACACGAGTCCCAAAAATCAACAACGTTAACGCAACAAAAAGACAAGACTCCGATAACAGCAAGATCCGGCCGCAGAGTAAGATGGCCCCAACATTATGTCGCTACAATTTTCTATTAATAATAATCTACTATTTGGAATATTAATTATAACTTCTACCTCATTGTATACACATGCATTATTAAGCTCATGTTATACGCTATAAAACTCAACGTATCTTATGTACCCTTACACTTATGCGTATAATTTTTGTTTAAAATGTAAAGACAAAACGGCATTCCTTCCATTTCTTGCTAGTATTTTATGTAACCTCACGGACGGGCACAAACCAAATGTACAGTACGCACTAACTTCATCTTAATTTTGTATAAGCCATTTTTCTACCCTATTCAGTCTACTATTTTGTTTATGCAAACACAGACATTTTCCATATATCTTTGTTTGCAGGGGGGAGCTATTATACCGACTCACGTACAAATGGATTTACTCTCACTTAACCCAGTTAAGCCCTTTTTGTTAACTTATTTAGCGGACAAAGCCATCCGCACCATAACAATTTATTGTATCCTTATTATTATTTTGAGCTTGTATGAAATACGTATGCTTGAATATTGATTACTGCCTACGCATTTATTCACTCTGCTAATCTTACTACTAACCGCTTATTCGATTCGATTACTCATTCATTTCACATGGTATATATATGTCCATGTTATTCATATTGAACTCTCAATCACTCACTCGCTCACACGGTCTCGTCACGCTCTTGTTCTGGCTCTCGCTCGCTTGCTTGCCTTTCGGCACAACTCTTCTATGCTTGTTTAACACATCTGTACATTTGGATATATGTATGTGGTCTCGCAATAAACGTAATCAACACTTCGTATTTGCCTTCTGATTAATATACCGTTGGTACGTTATATAGAACGGTTATCACGACGAACTGTATACGAAGTTTAAGGATTATATCGAATACCGACCACCACAGTTATTTGTTTGAACACATAAATATTGGTACAAAGGGGCACCGAATACATGTGCACGACACAATTCACTTGATTTGTGTGTGGACTGTGATACTGCCCGGGTGCCTAAACAGTAGCACGTGTTTTTCTTGGGAGGCCACGCCCGGAGCTTTTGACCTAAAGGTCTGATCCACAAGGCAGTGGAGCATCGTGAGGAGATGCAGTACCATGGTAGCTGTTGACCAACAATAGGTTTATACGCCATTTGTTTCCTTAGGATCCTGGAGTCCATGTGCACCATTGGTTTGGAATCAGGTTTTTTCAACCCCCTTAGATGGATCGTCCGTATTCACAAACCCGCATAAAGCACCGAACACTCGCTTTTCGTCCTCTCAATTTCTTGAACAGCCCCCCCTCAGCGAGAAGGCAGTGATTAGGACTATCTTAGCAGTGGTTGTATACGCGCGGCAATGTGAGAGCATTTCGAGGAGGGGAGATGACTCTAAACGATTTCTATTGGTACAAATGCTGAAAAGGAACATGTATTTTTATTGAATTTCAAAGGAAAGAGATTTCAATGGAAACGATGATAAAAACATGTAAAAACTAGATATATATCCTGCCTGTTATTATTATTATTATTATTATTATTATTATTATTATTATTATTATTACTAATACTCTTGAAAAGGATCAAAGTTTTAACAACTAATTTTGCTCAAGTTCTCATGGTTATGTAAATGTGAATTTATGTTGTATATATCACCGGAAACACAACAAAAACACAATTACATGTCATAAACTCTAGTTTGTGAGTTTAGTATATTTTTTTCCTGGTGTACACCTGAAAACATAAATATAAGTATATTCAATAGGATGTTTTGCAACAGTTTTAACGAATCAAATTTCAAGTGATCTAAGGTTTCTAGGATTTATATAGAAACAGAAAAAATGATATTTATTTAAATGAATTGCTTTCTGTAACCAAATATCTCAAAACAAACATATAATCAAATAGATTGTAACTGTAAAGAGGTACCCATCCAACAATTATTCTAACATTGTACTACATAAATAATATGATCGAAATTCTATCGAACACTAAGATATTCGTTGTAATCATTAATTCGATATATATATGAATTCTATGATTGTTATATAATACACTCAAAACATCTTGACATTAAGTTGCTTAATGAAAGCTACAAAAACATGACAGATTTAGTTTATGGAACTGTACAAACGATACAGGATAAAAAGGTTATGGTAGATGAATTAAACAATAATAATAATATGATCGTTCAACTACATAAGATAAATACTTACAAGAATAATCTTATAAATAGTAATAACAATATTAATAATAATGATATTATAGACAATAATAATACTACTAATGACGAAATGAGTAATACTTTTTCAAATGAAGAAAAATTAATTCAACAAACATTATCAGTTTCCAAAAAGAGAAAAAAATTTAAATTAATAAATTCTAAACGATTTAAACAAAATGATCAACACAATAATAAACATAATTATCATATATGTCCATTTGATAAAGTGAATACAAGAAATGGTAATATTGAGATAATTACAGAAAGAATACGTGATAAATGGAATAAGAAGATTGATTTCTTATTATCTGTTATTGGGTTTGCTGTTGATTTAGCAAATGTCTGGAGATTCCCTTATTTGTGCTATAAAAATGGTGGTGGTAAGTAGAATGTAGTCTTACACAAGTTCATTTGTACTAAGTAAATTTTTGTTAATTTTACTTTAGTTATTTATTTACTCTGAAGAAGTGACTCATATTAAGTCACAGAATGTCAGAAATATAATTTTCTATACAATTTATATGAAACTATCAAATCTAACCATGGCATTGGTACTTACATAAATGTAATGTTTGTCATTATTAGCGTTATGTTCACTCCTTTAACAGATCAACGATGTAGTGTGGTATATATATGTGTAATTAACATGATGTAGAATAGCTTACTGGTTTTGATCAAGACCCTAAAGTTTTTAGTTAAGATTTTTGTGAGATGAACTACGACAATCATTTAAGGTAGAACCATTAAAATTAAAGTGTTTTTAGTACTCTGTTTTATTATAAGTAGTGATTTTTGAAACCCAACGACAATCTAAAAGGCTCTGAAAAGATACTTTACTCCCGATCATATTGTTTTGATCATAGGTTGTAAGACCTTTACGATTAAAATTGGAGTACATTATTCTATGAGAAATTGACACATATTTTGTTAAAGGCACAAAGGTACACATATGATATTTTAGTTAATTTCATGTATTGTAACTATATAATTCTTAAAAGTAGTAGACATTACCACAATCTTTATTCTTTCAATAATAGGTGAGGGTGAAGTGTTATTTTCTAAACATTTTAACTAATGATTGAAAAATATAACAAACTCCAATTTTAGAATTTCGGTTAGTAAGCGCAAAGACTATAGATCATCATCAGTTGATATGTATTCTACTTAATTGACTTTTCAGTCCTCTCTTGAATGAATCAATTAGAAACGCGAAATTCCATTTCCTGACACTATTTCGTCAGTTTATTATTTAGGTCGAAAATATTTACTCTACTTTAGAACTTACTCCAAGTATCCTCTGAATTACAAGATTAGGTCTATTTCTAGTCTATATATATATAAGCTTTAAAACACTAGAGATCCCTATATTGAACATCAGAAGAACACATTAAAGCGAACTATATTGTTTTCAATAAAATATAATACTTTCATATCTTCGAATAAATATTTCTGTATATTAAGGTGAAGCCTGATAATGGCCTAATTGAAAACAATGTTGTTCGTTAATGTGTGTTATTCTAATTTTCACGATTGGTGATCATCACTATTTCAAAAATTAATGCAGTTTATCAAATGGTCAACATAATGTATGTAAAATTTCATTTCATAATAAAAGAAAAAAGGTTTCAATGTTTTCAATGGTTTATCACAAATTAATGATATGCACTAATATACAAAATCAGTGTTAAAACTGATATACAACTTGATGCTAAGTTAAAATACCATAAATAAGTAAAGGTATATAGTATACTTTTTGCGAGCTTAATATAACATGAAATTCCTCCTCTTTCAAGACATCAGTTGCAGTTAGTGGAAGACAAAAGGAGTGTAAATTTGTCCATTATCATTTTTCGTTGGAGAGTGGCATTATTATATAGATGAAGCATAAAAAAGAATATGTAATGATTTGTAATCTTCAGTAGATATTAAAACTTGTAAAGAACAGAATAACTCATTTCTTTTTAACATAAAATGAGTAAGTCTGCAATTAACTGGAAGGTTTGGAAAGTTTGTGTAGGTTTAAGAATCGGATCAATGAAATTCACAAAAGGTTTAAAGAATTGTTTTCTAGTAAATGAAATAAGTAATTAGTTAAGCCAAATTTGGTTATGAAATTCACAATAATAACAATACTAGTAGTGGTAGTAATGGTGGTAATATTAATTAGAGACAGTTTATTTTAAAATTAGACATTACATTTGTATAGTAAACATAAAACGGTATTTACGGTGTTAAAACTTACAATTATTTCAAAAAATGCCTTAAAATAGTTGTGTTAAGGAAGATAAATCAATTTAATACCTAAATAATAACTATTCAGTTTTTATATTCATCTTATTTTAATACATACCAAAGACTATATATTTGTTACTTGATGGGAATTTACGGAGAATGTTGAATCACCGTAGGTTTACATCACTGGATGACTTTTGGTCAGACTGCTACTAAAAAACCAGCTGCTTGGTCTAAGTTCAGGAATTCTTAAAATTCCACATTCGCTACCTCTTTTCGAGGGACCGAATGCAACACCATCGGTCTCGTGCAAACACTTAACCTGTGAATAGCTCATTGAATAGTTTTTCTGGTTAGCGTTTTTTTAGCGAGTTAGTTTTCTACGGGATGGGGTCGCTAACCCTATGCCCAACCCTCCTCCTTTATCCGGGATTGGGACCGGCAGTAGCCCCCGGAGGGACTCCAGACGGAGTTTGAGAATAGCTCAGCGGGAGCTAAATGTTGTACACGTTTAACTTTAATACGTTTTTGATATTGCATAACCATCTTTCACTTCCCAAGGTGAATAAGTGTCTCACAATTGACATGGTTAATCCCTCTTTGTCGGAGCTTCTCCTGAAATCACAACTCTGTAGGAATGGGTATGCACACTGCTAAGGAGTTACATAATGTGACTCGACTGCAAGTGATTGCTGGTTTTCAATGATATAGAAGCAGTCGTATTATATCGTGAAAAGTATGGATATTTAAATTAATCGAGGCTAGTTTTATAGAGACCTCAATTTTGATAAATGTTCACAGGTATGTCTACTATACTCAGCAAAAATATTTTCTAACTTCTAACAGTAATCAATACAGTTTAGTATTGGTTGCATCATTAGAGAGATAAGTTTTCTGTGGTGAAACTCTAAGAAATTTTACTGAAATGACTTAGGGTTACTAATTTTCAGGAAAAAGAGTAGAAACAGCTGAATGAAAACATGATGTGATCAAACAGAAACAGAAATTAAGAGGTCTATTTTGATACTACTTAAAGAATAAATACCGCTTCTTTTTAACCAATCAAAAAATAGCTTCAAGTTCTTAATATCTTTGACGACTTTAATCCATCTGATAATGCATGATTCAAAACTACTTCGTTTTATAATGAAATCATTTTCACTTCGTTAATAATATTAAATGCTTTTCGAAGTTTCACATATTTTAAACAAAAAATACGAGGATATGGTTGCTAGAATAAACAAAATTTTAACTAATTTAGATAGATTTTAAATAAGTTAACCAATGTGACATTCAGTTGTTGAACAACCACGAAGTATAAGAACAAAATCAGCTATGTATTTTGAGTAACGTTTGATATGCGAACGGTAATTATCCAGTAGTGATCTTACCGAACGAGACATAACTAGGTAATTCACTTGATATTGTTTTATTTGAATCTTCCCATTGATGTTTTTGGACTGAAATTGATCAGGTACATCCAGCTGACGAGTCCCAAACAGGACGAAACGCGCGTCCTGGATTCCACTGCTAGCCACTATCCATCTTTGCTTACAATAACTAGGTAAATTAAGTTAATTATTGCATTAGTGTTGAAGTTCACCAGGGATTATTATTTCTCGTTCCCCAGTATACTTCAGATTGCATAATTAGTTAGAAAAAACTCAACTCAGTGGTATCACAATTATCAGTCATAAAAACATAATTAGGATACGATTTCTTATAGCGCAAAGTACAGATGTAATGTTCTACTTTACTTTTAATAAATAAATAAAATTCATTTTGACTAAAGAAACAAAATAAAAAAATCCTGCTGTGATTTTATTTCCAACAAATGTTGTTTGTGTTCAATGAAGACTTAATTGGGTAAAACAAGAATTTGTAAATGTGGTCCATGAATATCATTTTATCGTAATTCATTTATTGATAAAATACTGATATTCTATTTGATTTCATTAGTTTTAAAGCCGTTCAACTGTGCATGACATTGTAACAACCGTATATTACTGATCCATTCAAATTGTCTTCAGTTGAATATCTTTACGATTGTACCATAAATTGGTTAAGGAAATCGGATATGTTGCTATCATGGTATCATCGGACTATTCAATTGATCGATTAATAAATGTGTTAACTATCAGGAAAATATATACGAAAATTCGTCAATATTTGAACGAATAGTTTGACAGAAGTTAGACTCTGAATGTAGAGAAGACATTATTTCTAAAAATCATATTTTTAATAGTCTTAGCGACTGAAACGCTGGAATTATTTAAATCTTAATCGTTGTGATTATTTCAGTTATAATTTTCACTAATAATATCAATATATTATTTCCTCACTATGTTTTTATCACCCATACAGTAATTGTTTTCATATTTCTAGAACTTTCTGTTGCCTTTAAATGCCTTTTTACAACACTGTTTGTGTCTTCAATGTTTATGTTGAAGCAACAAAGAAGAATCATGAGTATAGTGTAGAAATACCATGTTGTTAAGTGAAAAAATGACTCGCACAGTATTGTGTGGACTATAACATATGATGTTACTATGTACCTTATGTTTTTAGTTTAATATTCAGAATAAATTTTCAGTGAATAATCGCCGGTTCTATAACTAATCGATTTTTATATTTTTAATTTCTCTTATTAAAGGTGCTTTTCTGATTCCATATGGTCTTATGCTAATATTTGGTGGAATTCCCTTATTTTATATGGAATTAGCTTTAGGACAATTTATTCGTAAAGGTGCTATTACGTCATGGGGAAGAGTGTGTCCACTTTTGAAAGGTTAGTTGAAATTCCGAAAAAACTAGAAATTATATCTTATCTATTCATATGTTTTGAAGAAATTAAACTAAGATAATAAGTTATATAAATGAATTTATTTATGGTTATACACGCACATAGATAATAGACATTCAATAGAAACAGAACACGTAATCAATTTTAACAGAATAAAAATCTTATAGAGAATGAATTACAACCAAAGCCCTACACATTTGAGAAAACCCAAACCATATAAATAGACGAAATAGAATGTAATTGGTTGAGCAGTGGTAAGTGTTGACCAATCAGTAAGATTAGAAATCTAATTTACAATTTTTCATTTAATGTATTGTGGGATCGCAACGACATACATTCACTTTATTCGATCAGCTATTTGTGTATAAGTATTTCTTGAACAACCAGTATGTTTAACTTACCAACACAAGCATGTATTTATTTTCTTATTTATGTATTTTTCTTCCATGCATACTGTGATAACATTGTCGATAAAACTGATTAATTTTATGTTCAATCATAGCCTAGAACCATACACATATTCTTCTCTTCTCTCAATACAATTCGACTATTTTTCATACTGACTGGCTGTAATTTACATTTAAACAAATCTCAAATTAAATATCTATGATTGGAAAATGGTATGGTATACAGTCGTTTTGTGTAGCATTATCTATATTAGATAATTTTGACTTTGGTTTATTTATCTGGGAACGTTCAGACCAGAGTGTCGAAAAAAACTCTGGACTTATTTTCGATTACAATCACTTAGATTTTCATGGATTTAAACTTTTTTTAATGCCTTTTATACACTCAGTATCTACCTGTTACAAAACTGTTAATTCAGATTTGAACAAACAAAATATAATAGACAATGACTGCAATATTTAGACATAAAAATTATTTTGATGATCTTACGTTCTAATTGCAAGGACAAAGGTTAGGAGAATTTAGGTACATCTCAACGTGAGGTTGAGTATCCTTTCTTAAAGTTCAATAAAAGTGTAGAATTTATTAGTTTTGAGCCTTTTTTGGTTTATGTTCTAGGTAACCGTGTCATATAAAAGTATAGTTTTCTTTGGGGTTTCAGTTCAATCACTTAAATCTATTCACATATGTCTGCTATAAACTCGATAGTATAGAGAATTCCAACTTACCAGATGAAAAAACAGATAAATTGAATGTTAGAAAATGAAACGTGAACATGCTTTTTTCAACATTACCTGAAATAAACATGGACAAACAGTTAAATGTTTGTGATTGTTTCTCTATATAATGGGGATGTTGGACACTAGGTGGGTGTTTTAGATATTATTTCTATACTTCGTATATCAATGGACATAGTAAACCTTATTCTAATTTTACTGTAGATACTGGCAGAGAGAACGAAGTAGACAGGACGCCATTTCACTGAATAGCTCGAACTACAAGACTAGCAAACACAGAGTGAGAAAACTCAGTGGGTAAAACTTAACAAACAAATAGTGAATGTGTCGCTCAGTTTCATGGATTAATTGGAGTTAAACATTTGCACCGTTGGATGCCGGCTCAGTGGTCTTGATGTTAGGTGTTCGCTCGCAAGACCGATAATTCTTGGGCTCGAATCTCGCGAGGCGGGATCGTGGATGCGCACTGCTGATAAGTCCTAAAATAGAACAAAATGGCCGTCCAGTGCTTCCATGTTTTCCATGGTGGTCTAGCTTCAACTGTCTCATGATCTCAACTACTGAAATTACTGTAATATCCACGAAAACCCTTACTGATATTAAGTATTTATGTATATACAAAATCGTCACTGAGCTTCTCAACTAAAAATACCAAAGACATTGAGTTAAATAATAGGCTGCTACGTGGGATTAGTTACACATACTCATATAATCTTAAAGATGAATACAGAAAAGTAGGTGAATTATTAGGCACTGAAATAAAACTGTCTATCTCCAAAATGGGTTGGTTCTGGGCTTTAACCAATTTAAGTATTTACAGGCTTGTGTTACGGTAATGATTACAATAACCTGTTTATCTGATGTATATATCGGTGTTTATGTGGCTTTTTCTGTCACACTGTACTTTAAATTGGCTTAATCATGTCAATTACTCAGTTGATTTAGATGGTAAAGGTAGTGTAAAATATTAGAAAACCTGATACGAAGTAAATAGAGCAAATGTATATAACGTTTAATTAACAGTTGTGTAGATCATTTTTCTCTTTCATTTGTCTGACCAGCACTTTAACTGAATAGGTCATGATATAGGACGATAGAGAACTTGCAATAATCTATGTAATTGAGCGCTTGCGTTGTCGTTCTAAATATCTGTCAATTAAGACATCTCTGTATTAGAACAACACACATAAGCGAATAGTAGTGTTCCTACATGGATCTTCATCAGGCTTTATTCTAATACACAGTAAAATTCATATGAACAAATGTGAAAGATATTCAGCTAACCAAGATAGTTCATGGATCAGTAACAAAACAGATTACATAAGTAAACATCATAAAAACCAAGTATAAATTGATAGTCGAACGATAGGTTTGCTGCGATTGATAACAATAGAAGTTTAGACTGATGCTTTTATACAGAAAGTAGCTGAACATTTGGAAAAACAATTATTAATTAGGTATCATTGGTGAGGCTATAATTTATTGAAGACCTTTGAGCAATAATGAAGTGATCTTGAGAAACCAACCACTTACATGTGTCAAAATTCAAGTGTCTGTCTTAAATCGAATCGATTTATCCACAAATTACAACCTCACCTCATTATTAAGAATTACTACAGTCCTATAATAAGAATTTTCTAAACGGTTAGATAGCAAAGAGAATGTACGAGAATGAGTACAGAAAGAAAAATGAACAAACGACATGGAAAATGACAGTGAAAACAATTCGTAAAATCATTTATTAAGTTTAATCCATCGACGCAGAAGATAGGGATGATACAATTTACCTTTGATTACATCGATTAGAATTTTCGACATTTCTTTGTTTGAAAAAAATATATGTTATGAGGTAGTTTTAATTCTATGGTTGGAATGAAAATTGGATTTTTCTTTTACTGAACCGGAATTACTTCCTTTTACTCTAATTAATTTCCTGAGGGAAGGGGGTAAAATTAAACAGTTAAGCCCTAAAGTTGTTAAAAGGGAACTTTTATATCTAAATGCCCTCAGCCCTAATCTCGTCGATACCACTTATACAGTTTAAAAGACAGTGAAAATGCAACCGAAAACTTACAGCTATGTTTAAAATACATATTTGGTTAACTAAATCTACTCTTTGCTCAACTGGTAAACTATATAAATCCCTATCTCCTGGAGCCTCTAGTGAGAACGATAAAGGTTCACATAATTGTAAGTAACTTTTATTATTTAGATTCATGATTTCGTGTAATTAGATAGACAAAATTCATGACCACAATACTCCTAAGTTATTCAGTATCAATGGATATCTACCCAAAACGCTCTTTATACAAATTTGGATAGTAAATTTGTCATTAATTCATTACATTTTATGGATAGCGACATATAGGAACATCTCATAAGTCAAAAGACAAAGTACAATTAGAACGACAAAAATATAACACAAAAACAACTGCTTCATCATTAGTTAATAAATATTTTTAAATTCATTTGTATTTAATATTTTTCCTTTTGTCTTAGAGATACAAGGTATGTCCTATTGAAACTTACTTACTTACTTACGCCTGTTACTCCTCGTGAAGGAGCATGGGCCGCTCACCAGCATCTCCATCCAACCCTGTCCTGGGCAACCCTTTCCAGCTCCTTCCAGTTGTAATTCATTCTCTTCATATCTGCTTCTATTACCCGACGTAATGTGTTCTTTGGTCTTCTTCTTTTCCTCTCCTCTTCAGGATTCCATGTTAGGGCTTGCCTCGTGATGCAGTTTGATGATTTGCGTAATGTATGTCCTATCCATTTCCATCGTCTTTTTATTGAAACACAATATACATATATTAATTATAAATTATTCACTACTAAGAGGTTATTTCTGAATGCTGACTTGTGTTGATTTTTTTTAACGACATATTTACTGTTATACAATTTTTTTAAGTTAGTAATGATCTTTGAACAAATCAAACATCAGGCTCTTTACCCGATTACGGAGTTCAACAACAACAACAACAACAAAAAAGATATCAAATGCAATTTTTTAATTGACCTCCATTATGATTTTTTTTCTGGTGGTAGTTGCTTTCATGCCATACAAATTATTAAACAGATCAGTAAGCAATATCAAATGATCTCACAAATTTCTCAAGATGAAGTTGTAATCAAACGAGTCATAATAATAATAATAATAAAATCTGAGTTGAAAATTGAACGTAATCCGCTTTCTTTATTTATTTATTTATTTATTTATTATTCTTTTTGATGGGAAAAAATATCGCAAAAATTCAATTCTATGCTCATTGGTATAGAACAAGTACCTTCTTGTTTTATCGTTATATACAATCTATCCAATGTTCCAATGTTTTTTCTTTTGAAATGATCAAGTCAAACTTTAAAAATGTTACATGTTAACGTAAAACAGTTTGATGTGAAATTCATAGTAGGTAAAATGTAAGTAGAGCAAAGATTCTGAAGTATAGAATAAGACATTCATTTATATATAAATTAATATCTTAATGAGTAGAAAAATTAGATTTTCTAACATTTTGTGACTCATAGTTATTTATTCTCTGAATAAATGACTTACAGTGAGTTAAGAGTCGTCGGAAAATCTAATTTTTCTACTCGCTGAGATATTACAAATATATTATCTTTATTTATAATAATCTACTCAATGCTCAATTCCTTTGATACTTACAAATTCCTTTTCTACAGTTTCAATTCTAAATGTTTTCTCTATGAATATCAATTACAGAAAAAAACATTTCTTTCGAGTGGTTAAATGTCTAGTTTGATAATGATCAGCATAGCAATTGTGGAGATTATCAAATTATTGATTGAGAACATGAACAGATTGATGTTAGACCATTGAAATTTTTAGTCATAATGAAATTTTTAATTATTTCAAGAATAAACTTTAGTTATTACACTTTATATTGTAGGTGTTGGTTACAGTGTTGTTCTTGTGGCGTTCTACACTGATTGGTTTTATAATATGATTATAGCTTGGTCATTATATTATTTTGGGGCATCATTTACATTCAATTTACCATGGATGTCGTGTAATAATTCATGGAATACAGAGAATTGCATAGATTTTCATTTGACAAAAAATGATTCCATTTCTCAATGGGATAATTTTTCACTACGTAGCAATTATTCCATTGTGGGGAATATAACATTTCCTGTTGAAGAATTTTTCAGGTAGTTTCGTTTGGTATAGTTTATAAAATACTCTTATTTTTTTGTTACTAATTTTGTTTGTTTTGTAAGGTGTGTACAAATGATGAGTATAAGTTAATCATAGACGTAGCTAATGAATAGTTGAAAAAAATATAGTGTGAATTTGATATGAACTACATGAATGACATTAGTGATTATAATCATTTCACAAAATATAAGCCAAGGATATTAAAATAAGTAGATCATATAATATACATATTTATTTTCTAGATGAATAAATCACTGATCATTAAAATTTTCAAAACATTCACTTTTGATTTACAAGTACAATGAACTGGCAATATGATGAGAAAGTTGAAGAATTGAAATGTAGATCATTTGTTATCGATTAATTCTATCATATTTGAATGAAGTTAAAACGTGGCTAGAAACTAATTTTAAAATACCAAACTATTACAATAAGTGAATTTATGATAATATTTCAATAAAAGATAAACTTCGGTTAAGAAAGAAGTCATCTGAAGAATTACATTCAAAAAATGTTTATTCTTCCCGTAAATACACTGAATATGAAATAACCGGTGAAAAATTCTAGAAAAAAAGTTTTTCCTATGAATAAAATGTTTTAGAAAACCTGATGGTTTATTTAAGCCACTAAAACAAAACCATCTAAATAGATTATTACAAAGAATAGTTTCTCTAATAATAATAATAATTTATATTCTGAAAATAATAATTACAGAATTCACGCCAGTTTACAGGCATGATCATTTTGATATAAATAGTAACATTAGACGTGCAGAACAAACATGTGATAGAAGAAAGTTTTAAGTAAACCAGTTCAGTAATTGTTTAGGTAGTACATATATTACAGCGATCCAATGCATCAGCCGGGAATTTTTAATATTTCTTAAATGGACAGCCTGTTGATTTATTAACGGAGTAATTAAGGTCAATTTGTGTGCCAGATCGAATTAATGATAATTATCTACAACTAGAGAAATTAAAACGAAAACAGAGAGCACGGAACAATAAAGCAGTAATTAGCAAAATATATGAATCAGGTCTACCAAAATGCGTAATAAAAGGACGGGTATACTGCGCGGCAGTCCGTTCTGTTTTAATTTACGGCAGCGAAACATGGCCATTAAGAGTAGAAGACACTCGTAAGCTATTAGTATTTGACCACAGATGCCTTAGAAATATTACTGGCATCTGCTGGGATCACCGGGTAAGTAATAGTGAGGTTAGACGCAGGGTATTAGGGAATGATGGTAAATCAGTTGATGAGGTTATGAATCTTCATCGACTGAGATGGTTTGGCCACGTGTTACGTATGCCTGAACACCGACTTCCACGACGTGCAATGCTATCCGGTATTGGAGATGACTGGAAGAAAGTTAGGGGCGGCCAAACCAAAACGTGGCATCAATGCTTGAAGACACTAACTTCTAGTCTGAGCCATGCTGATAGATGCAGACTACTTGGTTGGGGTCCGCGTGACTTTCGTAACCAATGGTTGGAGACTCTTGGTGACATGGCTCAGAATCGATCACAATGGAGCAGGTGTATACACTCTCTGTCTTCCCTTAAAATAAGAGATTAAAATCACTTCATATCTTTCTTTCTACGAACCAATTCTTTCTTCTTGTACTATATCTCTATATGCAATCTTTCTCTTATATATTACCACCTTTGACCTAACCACTGCTGTGAATCCGGTGTTCATCTTGTTGTGCTGATGCGGTATGGCAACCTGGACCGATGCACATATGTGCCTGGTCCTACGTTGTAGCTGACTGACTGACTGACCTAAATGCGTGTGTCATGTGACACAGTGATATACTGTTTATGTTATTCAAATTAGTTAAACTTGCTAGGGACGGTGTTAACATAAAGTGACAGCAAGTAGGTGGTTTTACTTAGAGAATGCACTAATAAAAATGGCTAAACATTTAAAGTTCCTATAATATCACTTGTGGAATGAGATACACTTACAGGTGTTAGAACATTCAATGCATTTTCAAAGGAGCAGTATGCATCGATGCAGCGAACAAATAATGGGAGTGACTTTATCGTACGGATAGATTGTGGTAGGTTATTCCAAAGTCTAGAAAATTTATAGGGGAAGTAATTCATATAAAGAGATGATTTGGAATGAGTTTGTTTCACTAGTGCCAAGGAATTACGGATGTCATAATGAGAAGTTTCTGCATATTGAATCGCGTGATTGGATGTAAAGGATATTTTACCAAGTAGTTTGAAGAAAAAGATAAGATTTAGTTTGAGTCTCCTCCTCCATAAAGGGCCTAGCCCAAGTTTATTACATCTAGAACTATAAGTTAAGGTACAATCAGCTCCAAGAATACGAAGTGTAAATCGTCTCTGTACTGATTCTAGCCTTAATTTATCCTTTATGCGCGCACTGCTAAGAATAAACGTGCAATATTCTAGAACAGGTCAAGCACAAACTTTGTACATTAAAATACGTGACTCAGTGTTGTAAAGGTTTCAAGTTATGTAACCTATTAGACGTTGAGACTTAGAGGTCTGTTTTAATATCTGTTCTGTAAACGATAATCTTGGGAGTATCTAAGTCCTAAGTCTACTACTGTATGTAACCTAGATAACACTTCTCCATTTATGATAATGTCTAGGTTGAGTGATGTATCTCCGAAGCATATCCATCTACATTTAGCCGTATTAAGCTCCAGTTGCCATTTTAAGCACCACTGTGCTACCTTGTTAAGCTCCATGCCGATGCAATTTTGCATATTTTCCAGCTCATGTGGAGAAAGTGAATATACTACTTTAAGATCATCTGCATATAGAAGGGGCTTACTCACACAAAAACTTACAAATATCATTGATAAACACTAAAAAGAGCAAAGGGCCTAAGACACTACCTTGTATTACACCACTTCTAACAGGAACAGCGTTAGACAATGAAGAGTTAATTTTAATTATTTGATGTCGATTGCTGAGAAAGGAGAAAAAACCGAGCTAGCAAAGGATTTTGAACCCAATAAGATGCGAGTTCACCCATGAGAAGTTGGTGGCTAACCATGTCGAAGGCTTTAGAAATGTCCAGATATAGCACTAAGACTAGATATCCTTGGCTACGTAGAGAACAGACTAAATTAAAGAAGTCAAAATGACATGTCATGCAAGAACTATTTTTAAGAAATCCATGTTGGGTATCATTGATAAATTTTCCAGCAAGTAAATAGTTGGAAAGTTCATCACTTATAAATTTTTCCATAATCCTAGAAATAACTGGAGTAATATTTATCGGCCGATAATTGTTCATGTCAGTCTTATCTCCAGATTTGTAACGTGGTATGATGTACGCGGTTTTCCAACAGTAAGGGTAAGAACCCGTTTCCATGGAGAGAGTAAACAGCTTTAGAAGAAGTGGAATATCTGGACCACCATATTTGTAGAGAAAGGATGAAATCCCGTTTACTCCATGAAATCATAATCTAAACTTTGGATTTATTAAAAAAAACATTCAACATTTCTTCTTTTTGTAATATTTTTACTAAAACATGTTTTTTTTTATTACAGTAATCAAGTTCTAGGTCGTACTAAAGATACAAATGTAGAAAATCCTGGTAAAATTCAATGGCAAATACTATTGTGTTTTATAGCTGTTATGGTTATTTGTTATTTTAGTCTATGGAAAGGAATACATACATCAGGCAAAGTAAGTTACAGGTCCAATTAAGAGAAAAAATACGAAAAAGAGAATCATAAATTCTTTAAATATTTATATACAGTAAAATCTCTGAGCTTTGGTCACTTAAAAGGGTTTCATGTATAGTATTTCTAATAATCCAACACAAAGAACTGAACTTTATACACAATGGGGCAAGTGACGTGAGTTAATTACAGAATGAATTTGAAGAATTATTTGTAAACTGTGAATAGAATAGTGGAAACATGGACTGTTCAGAAAAAATCTTTTATCTTCTTAAAGCTACTAATCAGCAGCGATTTTGTTAGCGATATTTTAGCTTACAGATAAACTAGAGTTATAAAAAGGAGTCTCCAAGCAGCTAGTCTGTTTTTTCTCATTTTACTGTTGATTGATCGATGTCGCTCAACTATGAGTTGAACCATCTAATTTGAGCACTTCACCATACACTTTGGGATTCAGTTGTTTTTGTGAAAAAGACTATATAACGTGAGCTAATAGATGATTTATTCAATTAGTTAGCGAGTATCTCCTTTCATGGTTTGAAAAGAGTCGAACGAAACTCACACTTGGTTGACAGTGTTGATGTACTAGATAGGATCAGAGAATTCAAATACTATTAACTTTTCCCAGTGAGAGTTGGTTTCTTATTTTAGATAATAGCAGATGTAACAGGGATTCGAGCAAATAACTTTCATCTATGTTTAAAATAAACTTGTTACTCACTTACTTATTCTTTAAGCTGTCAAAACTTGGATGATGACTTCACTAACTCTTCACAATATTTTTTTAAATTTTCTTCCACTTCGGATCTCTTTTCGTTATTTTTATATTTAAAAATGATTATTTAAACAATTTTTATTACAAAATGTTTAGCAGTTATTGCTAAATTCTTATGTAAATAAGTCAAAAACTCATGTCAGGGTATTTCACAAACATGTCAATATCCTGGTTCAAATTGACGCTAATAATTAATTCCATAAGATTTCAGTATCCCAAAGTTAAACTTATAAAATAGGGATGTTATTATGTTTAGAGTTCGATAATGTGAAAATAAAGATGATATGTTTTGTCAGTTGAACGCTACTTGCTATATCTGGTTGTCGCTGATTGTTGTGTCGGAAATGCTTATCACTTATACTCGAAACGAGGGACCTCTGCAATTTCTACGACTCGACAGTAAGAACACAAAGACTGTTTATAAGTGATGATTTATTAACCCCAAAACACGACGACTCTAATAAAAAATACACTCATTGATATAATGATTCTTACACCCATATAACAAATCACATGCTGAGCGTAGTTCATGTCAGTTGAATACAAGAATATCGTATCCTATACAGCATAAAATATCATACGGGAAAACAAAACAAGTACTACACTGAATGATAATCACATTGAACCAGAACGGAAGTAATGTTGAACGAATCTCATAATGAGTAAATCAATCAAATTTTGACCTTTCTTCCCATCATATCAAAAGATTTCATGGATTTGTAGTAGAGCATGTATCAACAAGATTAAAGAAGTATGTGTATTTTGATAGTAAAAGACTCTTAACCACACTTTCTATTTATAATAATATATAATCCACTGAACCAAGGGACATAGCTACTACACTAATAACTATGACATGGTAGACAAAATGTACAGATAAGGAACACGATATCTGAAAGGTCATTGTTCAAAATTTTTAACTATACAATGATGACAGCATTCCAAAACATTTTTTTGTTAGTCAAATCATAAGCGCATGGAATGTTAACATAACGGATGCAACATGATTTTTCAGACAGAGCAACAGATATATCTCAAATATAAAATACTAGCTGATCAAAATAATATTCTTGTATATAATCCACCAGTAGGAACTGTAAGTTGATGAATAGCTTCCTAATTCCAGAAACGTACGGAATTATCAATAATTGGAACACTTGTATTTCACATAAAGACAATAGCAGTCGTTGGGTTTTCATAATTTACGAAGTTCACTTAGTATCCTTCACCGTGAAAAAAATAACCAAAACTACAATTAACAAATACCACAAAGAAGTAAACTATACTGATTAAATGTCAAAAACATTGTTTTATATACAGAACACTTTATAAAGCATGTACGCATTTTTTAAAATCTATATATGTATCTAATCGAAATTTCGACTTATGATAATAAAACGTAAAGAAAAACCGATCAAGTAACTAAGATCTGTAAATCATTACAATGTGAAATATATATTAAATTTTTAAAATACATACAAGTTATTCATGACTCTGAAACTTACACATCGATGTATTGTTACTCTAGTAATCCAGTTCATTTAATTTATCTGCATGGGGATGTGTGGAGATTGTAGTATTTTCGAAGTTGAATTCATGTGTCGATCTAGGCTAGACCATTATTAAAAACGTGGAAGCACTGGACGGCCGTTTCGTTCTAGTGTGAGATTCTTCAGCAGTGTACATCCACGAACCATCATGCGCGATCATTTAATTTGGTTAATTTTGAAATACATATGATACTTTTTACTGAGAATTTCATAAAAATGTACCATTTTATTTTATTCTTTCAATATTTTTCGTCTCATAATCTATACATGCAATAATTCTTTTATATTTCTTCTTATAGGTTGTTTGGTTTACTGCATTATTTCCCTATGTTGTATTAATAATATTTCTATTTCGTGGAATCACTTTACCTGGGTCTACAAATGGTATATATCATTATATATGGCCAAATATTGAGAAGCTTAAATCCGCTGAACCATGGGTAGATGCTGCAACACAAGTATTTTTTTCACTTGGACCTGGATTCGGTGTACTTATGGCTTATGCATCTTATAATGAATTTCATAATAATGTATACAGGTAATCAAATACAGACAAAAATGAAACAGAAGTAATTTCTATTTAATCTGAAAATTTAGTCTACTTTCTGTCAAAGTTTAATTTCTCATAGTAAATTACTAAAATCAGATTCATTGTACATCAATCTCAATGTAGAATCGAACTGTTTTTAAGAGATTAATATGAAGTTAATTTATAGTTGATTGATATCTACTCGATATAGCCAAATATAGGTGACTTGTACAAGATGTAAATTTGGAAAGACAGACTTATCAAAACTTAGTCATAAATGTTAGCATCAAGATGAATAAAACGCTTAATAATTCTGAAATTCATGTCATATCTTCTGAACAAGTTGATGAGGATCAAATGAGACCAAGCACCTGTTTCGTATGTTACTGAAAACTAAAGTTTCTCTATTCCATATAGAAAATTTCTTTTCGATGAAATCCTTTATTCTGCAACCTTGTCTATGATTATTTATTTGGGTCATTAATAATGATACGCAAGATTAATTATTTTTGGTGAGAATATTACATTGTGGTTGCAGTCAACTGTTTTCCTAAAAGGCTATGACTACTACTTCCTTAGTTGCAGTGGGTTAATGCAAATCATCTGTTGATTTCTGATCACCTTGTCTCATAAGTAATACGTTATCTAGATGATCAAGGGAGAATGTACACAATAAGGACCGATCTTCTCATAAATCTTAGCAACTCAGTGACAGAAACTCGAGTTCGGTGCGCAAAACCAGATACCTGGATTTCTCGTTCAACCACAGTCTTAATCCTGATTGTTGATTTTTTTATAAATGTAATACAGGTTTTTCTACCATTCTTAAAGTTCTCTTTTTTCCTTCATATTCATCTAATAGACGATCATTTATTATACTCCTTATTCACTCTTCATGCACCCATATTTTAGGATTTTTCACAGATGTTTAGATAATTAAAAACACTCGTTTTGATAATCAAACTTTCCAGATACTTTATGACTTAATTTCTTTTTATTTAACAATGAACTACCGAATATTTTAATTATTGTGAAGCCTTGTTAAGGGAAATCAGGTAAAAGAAAAATGACTATGAATTTGAAGGAAACTGATCTGATGATTTAAGCAGACATTTCCTCCGAATTATGATTTACTTATAATAAGCAACCAGAACGAAGCATAATTCACGTACTTCTACATAGTTTTTTCCGTAAATTAACTTTAAAATGCAATAAAAATCAATGGGACGTAAAATATCCTGATGATAATATGATACTTAATTGTTATTAGATACTGACGAGTACAGTTTATGACGAAGGTTAGTATTCAAATACTTACTTTTTTTCTGGTTAGCGTTTTTTAGCGAGTTAGTTTTCTACGGGATGGGGTCGCTAACCCCATGCTCAACCCTCCTCCTTTATCCGGGCTTGGGACTGGCAGTAGCCCCCGGAGGGACTCCAGGAGGAGTTTAATGTTCAATCAGCATATCATAAAACGTTTACATAAACCTTTTTAAACGTTACTTTTTATTAATCGGTGGTTAACTTTTAAACGTAATAATAATTATGATTTTCAATATACATTAGATAACTTGGTTTCTAAGATGAATTAAATGAAGAAAGTATTTTGTATTCATTTGTTTGGGTATTTGTAATGAATGATAATAGAGAAATAAAATTGATATTCATTACGAAATGTGAAAATGCCCATTTCAATTAATAAATCTTGTATAATATGGTATGGATAATCAATATGAAAATGAAAGTGATCCATTAACAATGATAATAATCATCGTAGTAGTAATAAAATATACTTAAACATATGATATTGTTTCATAGATTTATTGTTGGTTGAAGTGTGGAATTATTTGACCTTCATGTTTACTTCTTAGATTATTTCAACTGTGATGGTGTATTAATTATTTCATGCTAAGGTTTCGTATTTTGTTTGCCTTTATCAATACAATATATCAACTGATAGGGATGCATTACTTGTGGCATCAATTAATTCGCTAACAAGTTTGTTATCTGGATTTGTGGTATTCACATTATTGGGTTATATGGCATATAAACGTAATGTACTTGTATTAGATGTGATCAAAGATGGTAAGTCTAAAACGTACATTTTTTGACTGAAAAGGTTTGAATATTTCAATTCCTGACTAACGTTACATGAAAAACCCTTGCTAGATTATTTATACTACAATAAGGTAATGTACGTAAGCATTGTGAATTAATCGCGAAATTCAACGACGTTATGCGATTATTAACTGATTTTACATGAAATGTAAGTACGACGTAACACTACAGTTTTCTTCCGTTCAGAGGAAAATCTAATAAAAATAACCAGACAGAGTAATTTTATCTTAGAAATAATACTGTTAATCTACATGGTAAAACCTAATAATAATGATTTTATTCAATATGATAAATTTTATTAGAGCATAGAATTCTCAGCACCAGTCATGAAATGTAACAAAGATCATCTTTTTAACTACGGTATGTTTGTCTAAGTTTTTCAGTATTTAGTATCGCGATACTCTGTAAACGTTTTGTAGTAGAGCGTGAGTACATACAGTGACCAATCATAATTACTCAATTCAAACAAATCTAAAACAACTAATTCAATTAAAATACTTACACATTTATAAAGTAGGTGGCCTGTGCTAATCGATCATCATAATGTTACTTTAAGAAGTTTTTTATTGTGCATTCAACAATTATCTCTTAATTTAACAAACGGAAACAAATTTGTAATAAAATTAATTTCAAATTGAACATTAACTCTGGGATGCAGGTACATCCATCTAACGAGTTCAAAATAGGACGAGATGCACGTTCTGAATTCCACTGATAACCATTATCCAACTTTGCTTATAAAGCTAAAGCAATATCGAGGCAATCTGCATAAGATGCATATGTGCCAACACGAGACTAATCAATTACAGTCCTAAACAACAATATGGAGATACATGCAAACAACATCAAGTGAATTCAATATTGATTTTGTTTTGAAAAATGCACAAATTATTATTTAATAGGATAATATTTAATGTATAAATCAGAAGACTGAACCTTATTAAACATGAACTGTAAATTAGTAATTTAAGGCAAAAATTAGTTTGATAATGAATATTATTGTTCTATAAATGGTATAAAGAGGTAATATTCTATGTTTATTTGTGCATATGAAATCAAAACTTTTATTCATAAAAACCAATTTAATGACAAAATATGATTGAATGAGATGTACAGAACAAGCTGTGAAACGCTTCACTTCTATCTGACGTTTGTGCTGATGATGTTGTTCAGAAGAACGATGAAAGCTCCACGACCAAACCATCCAGCTCAGAGAACAAAACCCCATCAAAATCATCCACCTGAGCTACAAATCTTCTCCACCATCTCAAAACCTTTCAAAAACAGTAAGAAGTTGTAAATATGAAATATTGAATAAATAGGTATGGTGGTTAGTATACTAAAAACATTTTTACCATAACTACACAAACATGTTATCATACTATCAGTTTATTTTCTCTTTATCTATAATTTTCCATATTTTGTATTCTTACTTAATTAAATAATAAAGATAGATGGCTAAACATTCCTTTATTTACTTAGATGAAAATAAATGAACACGTAGTACCATTTCAGTTTGTATAATTCTCGACTGTATAAACGCAAGAGTTTCAGTTTCATCATCGTTTACTTTGTGGACTATATTTAATATTTCTCTGTCAGTATATGTTCACCTAGAGTAAAGGACCTAAATATAGTCTTCAAGAAAACGTTCTTGTAAAGTTGAATTATAGTTAGTAGTGGAATCTATGAATCGTGTTTCATCTCATTTAGAACATATCATTTAAATGTACGTGCTTCCTAGTGTTGATGTTCACTCTAAGCCTCAAACCAATTACGTTTCATTTTAAACGCTAGTGTACTATCCCCTAAGTTAATGAGTTCAGTTAGCCATCAAGTCTAAGACTTCTCATTGATGTTGCTGAAGTCTAATTTTTTTAAAAACAATTTCCGTATTTTTATCATTATTTGTCAAAACAAAGTTTACACTTCGTTTTTTTTTCAAAAAATTGATATTAATTTATATATTTGAATGAGTCTGTAGAGGCTAATTTCCTCTATATCTGACTTCAGTAAATAGTATCCCGTTAACTGAGTATTTAATGCAGGTAAATCTCCTAGTAGAATTATGGATTTACTAGAGATTATTCAAAAGCCTGAACACCAGTTTATAGAGATAATTAATTTCACAGGTTGAAATCATGAGTCAGTTGAAGCTAGACCACCATTGAAAACCTGGAAGCACTGGACGGCCGTTTCGTCCTGGTATGGGACTCACTGAAGACAATGGTGTACGGTGGCGCAACTTCGTGGATTGGTTGAAGTTAGACATTAACACTGTTGGATGCCGGCTCAGTGGTCTAGTGGTTAAGTGCTCGCGCGCGAAGCCAGTAGGTCCTGGGTTCGAGCCCCGCGTGGTGCGGGATCGTGGATGCGCACTGCTGAGGAGTCCCATACCAGGACGAAACGGCCGTCCAGTGCTTCCAGGTTTTCAATGGTGGTCTAGCTTCAACTGGCTCATGATTTCAACCTGTGAAATTTCTAAAATTCTCCACAAAACCCATTCTGAGATAATTTATTGTTAAAGATTGGTAAAATCCTCAAGCTTTCACGAAGCAAGCACACAGGGAAACCAAGCGTGTGTGTATGTGTGTGAGTGTTAAAAATACACATATATTTATGAGTGTTAATCAAGTATGAATAAATTATTGATTATCTGTGTATTACAACTAATGGGAGAATAGATTGAAAATTGATGTGCAGCATGTGCTCAATCATAATCACACAGAAATTATTATATAGTGGATTAAGTGTCTAAATTACAGTGAGCAGACAAATAATGCAGCAGTTGAATAGGCTTACTACAAATCACTATTAATTTTTGGAACATATGGAGTTTGAAAGAAATCCGTTGATTCGAAGATGAAATGCTCTAGTATTTGTTCTTGCACAAAATCACACAAGTTAGGACTTTGGACTCAGTGGTTGATTAGCATCGTGGCCGTGGTGATGCTTTTGGGTTCAAGTTTGGTTCTCACGTGAAGTTGCTAGCGTTCACTGCTTAGATGTCCGACACTTGGACCAAACTACAGTTCAATTTTTGCCACATTGTATTCAAGCATCGTATTTGAAAAACTTTAAGGTAGAAATTGAAGCTTCGTTGTTAGGTATTAAGTGGTAGATAGATATATATAGTGAAACGAACTTTAAAAGTCATGAGTTCCATATGTAATGAGGTTGTGATTTCTCCATACTGTGGAGTCATATACGGGGAGGAAAACAGATTTTCAGTGATTCCCGGTTTTCAACAATCTTCTATTTAAATTCAATTCATGAGGCAAGCTAGTGACTGAGAATTCTTCACATGCATTCTATGCTAACACTCATAAAATGAATTCAATTTATTAATAATATTTGGTAGTCTCTTTTGCTTCACTAATTAGTTTCTCTCTCAATTTTGACAAATCTCTCAATAGATCCAGTATTAGTCTTCAGTGTCTATCCAGAAGCATTGTCAACTTTACCCGGTTCGACATTTCTATCAATATGTTTCTTTCTCATGTTGCTCACTTTGGGTTTGGACAGCTCAGTGAGTAAAATCATGACATGTTTTTGTTTTTATTTTTTAAAATTTCGTTCATATAATTAAACCTAGTTAGATGAAGTTATTTCATTTTTAATTATTAAATTGCTCAGAAACTGATCATTTGAATTGATTAAAAGGTGGCCATTGTATGTATTCATATACATAGTATACCATAACAACATTTAGTAGCTTCTGCAGCATACCCACTTGACCATTAAAGTGAACGAACAAGTACTTCAGACAAATAGTAAACTAACTCATCAGCCACAAAAAATAAATTGACAATTTAATTTTTTAAAATCAACAACATTTTAAACATTGAAATGAACAGGTATCTCATCTAGATCATCAAACAATATATTATCTACTGCATTTAGAAAACCGCCTTATTCAGACTCCTTTAAGTTGAGTGTAGACAGAAACTGGTTTCAAAACAACCAGAAGTTTGATACCAGAAAACCATGCATTCCACAGCTTCCTTGTCCACATTTATTGGTTCAGTGTTGAGGAAATTACAATTATCTTGAAGACAGGGACATGTGGCTGTTCAATATCTTGACAAAGAAATGTTAAAAATAATCAAGTTCTGATGATTCCATGTTCAAATAATAATAAGAATATACCATTTATGTTTCTTATGAAGGTTAACTGTAATGTACAAATTTGCATCAACAGTTTTTGGGCTAAATGAAAAAAACGAATGTCCAGTTATAAAATAATAAACCGTCTGTTTCGAAATCTTTAACTGTATTTTCGAAATAATCAAATCAGTATTTTTTTAAATGTTAACTCACTCCAATAATGAGATTCAATAACTAATAGAATTTACTTTTTCTTTGGACCTTTTTAATCGAACATGTTTAATTGGTGAAGACAGAAAATGTTTGAAATACTTCGGATAAAATAACTTTTCTTACCACTAGAAAACTAAAACACAGTGGAGAACAGATTTAAACAGGTGATCTATTGATTAACAGTTTAATTTTAAGACCAGCATAGGATAAACTGAGTAGCTGCGTGGTCTATTTATACTCTTCAGTAGAGCACTTTCATTGTTTTTGAAAAAGTAAGAACTTTCAAGCCTCATGTTGGCTTTATAGACAACAACATCTAACTATACTTTCTCATTACTTTTTTCTAGTTATTTATTCATTAAATTCAAATAAACTTGACTAATGTATTGAAAAACTTTTTTTATCAATTAAATTCTAGTTTGGAGGTTCTGAAGCCGTCATCACGGCGTTAAGCGATGAATATCCTATGATTGCAAACCATCGAGAATTATTTGTACTTGGTTTATTCACATTCTACATTGGGATCGGAGCTTTGGAATCAACTCAAGTACGTAGTATTTTATTATATTTCATTACCTATAATATTCTGATTATGGCTTTGAAAATTTCAAAAAGTTTCTAAAATGATTACTTTGTCAATTTGAGATGTAAATGTGAATAAATATCGACTGTGATATGATTGGTGATCTTTAGAGATTAAAAGTCTAAAAATAGTTACTGAAGAGCAACGAATAACTGTCAAATAATTTTCAAAACTGTTAGTAAGGCTTATCATTTGATGTAAAAGCTAATGTGGATGTTGCAATTATTAGCCTATTCAAAGATGGTCTCCATTCTGAGCTCACACCAAGTGGAGAATCACTCTGATCGATGGAGTAGTGGATTTTTTTAATCACTCTAATTTGGGACTTCTCATTAGTATACACTTAAAACCAGGACAAAGATCGATTGGAATATTATGGGTCTTTTACTGAACACTACACATAATCGAAATTCATTTTAACAAATTTCTGAATTTAGTCAGTGTGTTATGTATTGTCACAATATTTTCAAACCATCAGTGACATATGTATCATTCTTGAAACTAGTACGCTTCATCAGTAATAGTTTCTCACCATAACATCTATGGTGCATCTCGAAAGTTATCGACTGCATTTGGATAGAGATCGTTCACTTTTCTTATGTTAGCTGATATAATGTATAGAGAAATTCATTTTGATTTACATTGACTGGTCACTGTATAATGATTGATGTCATGTTTGTCCAGTTCTATTAGTCCTGGTCGAATCCCGTTGAAGAAGTCCCAATGTAACCACCAGACTAAGTAACTTGAAATTACGTGGACTATGCTGAGGTGCTAGTTATTGGAGGTAATCGTTTGGAAACCCTGTATCTAGGTTTCGTACTATTTGACACTCGTCAACAAGGAGTGCTTGAAATCGTATGGTAACTGATATTAACTGGTGGATTCAAACCCAGTTCAATCAGTTTCCCCGCATAAGACGTCACCTCTGGACTAGTTATGCCTTGAATAACCGCTCACAGCCCTAAGGTATTTAGAATGAGTGACTATTACGTAGTGGCCAATATCATATTTATCTAGACTTTGCAACTCGATTGATAATATTTAGTCGGAACTAAGTATTAAAAGCTCTATGTTGTATATGTAATTTGTTTGCTCAACTGAAAAAGTCAAGTCAAAAAGAAACAATATAGATTCCATTATGAAAATAATTTAGTGAATATAATGAAAGGTTTACAAGGTCACTGTTTAAAGATATTAGGTACATATTAATTCTTCAAATAAAATAGATAATCTGATCAACAAACAGTATTAGACTTAAATTTACTTGGTACTGTTTGTTTGAATCTTCCCATTGATGTTTAGGACTACAATTGATCAGTCTCTTATGGACATATGTGCATACTGTGCGTATTGACTTGATATAGCCTTAATTCACAAGCATTATATACCGAGCTCGAGTCCCACAGTGAACATTAACTCTGAGATTCGAGTATATCCAGTTGACGAGTCCCAAATAGAACGAAACGCATGTCCTTGATTCCATTGCTAGCCACTATCAACCTTTGCATATAGTATTAGATTTAGTTTAGCCTTGGTGATTATTATGACTATTTTTTAAATAAAAAACACTACTCATTATGTTTAGTGAAATTAGCATTAATTTTCTATTTTCTTTTCTTTTTAGGGTGGGATCTATTGGTTTCATTTGTTTGAAAGAACTTGCGTTGAATATCCAATTTTACTGGCTGTATTATGTGAAACAGTTTGTATCGCTTGGATATATGGTAAAATGAAATATAAATTATTTTATAGAAAAAAAAGAATAGTTAAATTTTGCACAGATTGGAATCATGAGTCAATTGAAGTTAGACCACCATGGAAAACCTGGAAGCACTGGACGACCGTTTCGTCCTAGTATGGGACTCCCCAGCAGTGCGCATCCACGATCCCACCCCATGTGAGATTCGAACCCAGGACTTGTCAGTTTCGAGCGCGAGCGCCTGACCATTAGACCACTGAGCTGACCGGCATCCAACGGTTTCAATGTCTAACTTCAACCAATTCACGAAATTGCGCCACCGTATACCATTGTCTTCAGTGAACTGATATCTCAGTGCTTCCAGGTTTTCCATGGTGGTCTAGCTTCAATTGACTCATGATTTCAATCTGTGAAATTTCTAAAATCTCCATAAACCCCTTCTGATAATTAATTTTTTATTTATTTGTTACAGGTGTTGATCGTTTTCGACAAAACATTAAACAAATGTTGGGCTTTCAACCAGGAATATTTTGGAAAATTTGCTGGAAGTTTATTGCTCCACTTTTCATTCTGGTTTGTTCAAGTGTTATCTTCCTTGTATTCATTTTATTTGTTTTACTATTGTGTTAAGCTAGAAAAGAAAAGTTAGTTTTGTATTAACGATTACTGTTTATACTCTTGCTACCTCTACCATTATGGAATTTGAGTCGACAACTGCATCTCTGTGCTAGTGTGGTGTGGCAACTCGAACTGATGTACGTACGTACGAAGTTCTACGTTGTTACTGACTGACTGATCACTTGTTACGTACAAGATGTAGGATTACTATTAGTCTAATGAAATATATATTCGGGTTATGTAATTTGTCTAGATTCTTGTAGTATGGGAGTAAAGTCACTTTAAACTTCAAAGTTTGGAAAATATTTTATATCTAGAATTGTATATATTCGAACTTCTCAAGTTATTTGCATGTCAAGATCTATTTCACTATCTTTATCATGAAAATTACATAACTTAATCTATTATACTAATGTTTAAGCTTCATTAAAAATGCTATAATCCACTAAGATGTTCTGAATTCTCTTTCATCAAAAGTTTCAGCACTTCCAAAATACAAACCTAAGGGTCTCCAACTGTGTCATACCAAGATGAACATGAAGTGCACAAAGTTGTGTATTGAATTGGTTAATTTATTATTTAAGATCGAATGAGATGTAAATAACTAGGAACATTCAGACTACAATTTATTCTAAGGTGGTTTCTGACGTTTATGCACTAATAGGTGAATATTTTACATGTAGTATCTTTTGTTGTTCTTTTATTAAGGATTGTGTGTAAATCCATTAATTTCATCTTATACTAATTTTCAGAAGAATATTTCTGGTCATTTTATTGAGTAGTTTTTAGTATAACTAGTGAATTATATCAATAGCACCATCTGACTTCGAAAATTCTATCGTTAAACCAGTAACATCCTATGTAACGTATATTATTAAATAACCGACTGAGTGAGCAACAGAGTCACTGTAGTATTTCAGAGTTTGTGATTAGGACTTAAAACATCGCATAGCAGCTTAGTTTAAACTGAAAATATATGTTACATGATCTCATGTTTCTTAATTGCAAGTCATATGCCTCAATAAATAGTTTATCCCTGTTTGTAACCAACCCGTAATACTGTTTTGAAGTTAATTGTCAATAATTAAATTTGATAATGGGCTGGGAAACAAACTTCAGAAACTCATATTTCATTTTAATTTCAGTTTAAGTTATTTACAAAATGTATTTTTACTTTACATAAAATCTTTAATTATATCTATTTTATCAGTTCAATATTACTTATGGATTATCGAATTATCAACCCCTACAATTAGGTGATTATACCTATCCATTATGGGCAAATATATTGGGTGGTATTTTTAGTGGTTCAGCTGTTTTAACAATACCAGTTGTAGCTATTATTCAAATATTACGTACGGAGGGAACTTTCAACGAAGTAAATTCGATCATATTTTAATAACTAACGTATTTAGTATTTTCTTATTTGTTTTAAGTTTTATTGTTTTGTGATTGTTGCTTTTAACCATTAGTAATAGTGTAGGAACGTTATATACAGTTTGAAAAATTAAAACCAGGTTATTTTATATAGTTAACTATATACTGATGTATTATTTTTAATGACATTTATATTTCCTAATTAAAATGACGAAACTTTACAAACAGGATAAATAAAAACTAGTCAGAAGCCGTGACCAGTAAAGTTCAACCAGGTCTGTTGTGAGATATCAGCTCACTGAAGACAATGGTGGACGGTGGCGCAATATCGTGGGTTGGTTGAAGTTAGACATTGAAACCGTTGGATGCCGGTCAGCTCATTGGTCTTATGGTTCGGTGCTCGCGCTCGAAACGGTCGTCCAGTGCTTCCAGGTTTTCTGTGGTGGTCTAGCTTCAACTGACTCATGATTTCAACTATTGAAATTACTTAAATCTCCACAAAACTCCTTCTGATAAATAAAAACTAACAAGATTGACAAATCACTAATTACATTTACTTCTATATCTCTTTACGTAGAATAGATATGTTGAAATTAAATGTTAGATTACTTGAATTTTTTAACTGCAAACAAATGAACAATGATAGCATTAACCATTTGATGACCATGAGAAATTGAGATGCATCTGTTACTATCAAATCGGTGTATTATCAACGATTATACTTTATTCATAAATTTATATCCGTACTAAATTTAATCAATTCCTCTGCATAAGTCTAACTATTTAGTGGAGCATAAACTCTACAAAATGTTTAGACTATTGGTTTTAATGACATTCTTAAATTGAATAATAAGCTTATAATACTATTCAAGGAAATGGTCTAGTTCTTAAACTGAAAAAAATACTTTATACAAATAGTTCCGTATTATTGATCAGAATAAATCATGAATAACATTTATTATTATTATTTTAAAGAACAAACATTTGAGCTGAATAACAACATGAATTCCTATTATTGCATTAGACTCTTGTTAGCTGCCTATAATCTGTAATAATTTAAAATAAAAACTGTTGATGGGAAGTTAATTGAAAATATATATCTTCACAATGGTAAGATAAAATTAACGGCAATAATACTGAAACAAACACAACGAATTCAAGACAACTCTCAAAAACAAGTTCCAAGCCTTACAAGATCTACTCAAAGAAGAAGAAACTATTATGGAGGACAAATGGTAAGGGATCAAAGCAGCACTAACTTCAACGTGTCAGGAGGTTTTGGGCAGCAAGAAGCATCATCATAAGGAATGGATCTCCATCTAAACCCTTAACAAGATTCAAGAAAGCAGAAACAAGAAAACACCAATAACAACAGCCTAACAATAACAGAGGAAGTCAAGGCAAACACCAAATACACAGATGCAAACAAGCAAGGAAAGAAGAGTATTAGAACCGACATGCAGAAATACTTGGAAGAGCTAGCAACGACAGAGGATGAAGCTGCAAGAGAAGGAAACAACTATATGATATGACGAAGAAGCTAGCAGGGGAAGCTAGTAGACCAGAGACCGGTCAAACACAAAGAATGAAAGATAATCACTGAAATTCAAGAACTGAGAAACAGATGGATAGGACATTTCGATGAACGCTTAAATAGGCAAGCTACATTGAATCCACCGGATATCAAAACAGCATACACAGACATTCCTACAAATATCGCCCCCTCGATGACCAAAGAAATCAGGATGGGCATCAAACAAATCAAGAGCGGGAAAGCAGAAGGACCTGACAATCTACCAGCTGAAGCTCTGAATTCAGACACATAAGCAACTGCAAACGTGCTACGCACTATTCAGGAAGATTTGTGTGGAGGGACAAGCGCTGAAAAATTGGAATGAAGGACATCTCATCAAGATACCAAAGAAAAGAGATCTGAGCAAATGTGAGAACTACGGAGAAATCACACTACTGTCAATACCAGGAAAGGTTTTCAACAGAGTGTTGCTGCACCGAATGGAAGGTTCAGTAGACGCCCAACTTTGAGATCGATAGGCTGGATTCCGTAAGGATCAGTAGTGCATAGACCGAATCGCGACACTACAGATCATCGTTGAACAATCAATTGGATGAAACTTCTTACTACACATCAACTTCTTTGATCATGAGAAAGCGTTGAACATTATGGAAACTTTTTGAGACTATGGTTTTAGTACCTGAGAAAGTCGTCAACATTATCCTGGATTCATACGATGGACTACACTGCAAAGTCGTGCATCGAGGACAGCTGATAGACGCATTCCAGGTGAGGACCGGATAAAGACAAGGTTATCTACTCTCCCCATCTCTCTTCTAATGTTTGATTGGATGGTGAAGACCTCGACATCTGACGGGGAGCACGGAATAAAATGGACAGGTTGGATGCAACTAGATGATTTGGATTTCACGGATAACCTAGCCCTTCAATCCCATATACGTCAACGAATGCAGTTTAGGTCTCAACATACACAAAGGAAACAGCAAGATCCTCAAATACAACACAGAGAACACCAACCCAATCATACTTGATGGAAAAACTCTGAGAGAGGTGGATAGTTTCACGTTTCTGGATAGCATCATTGATAAGCGCGGAGGACCTGATGCAGACGTGGTGGCGAGTATTGGCAAAGCAAGGGCAGCATTTTCACAGTTGAAGAACACATTGAACTCAAAACAACTGTCAACCAATATTAGAGTGAAAATCTTCGATGCGAACTTCAAGACTGTTTGATTGTACAGAGGTGAAACTTAGAGATCTACCACACCCATCATCAGAATGTGCAAGTATTTCTAAACAATTGTCTACCCAGGAAACTGAGTGTCCGTTGAACAAATACCGTCAACAACAGCCCACTGTGAGAGAGGAAAACCAGCTTCAAAATGAATAGGAAATTGGGGAAGATGCTGGAGGCGGATAGGACATGCATTGAGGATAACATCAAACATGAAATGTTGAAGAGAAGGGGAAAAGTCGAAGGTAAATGTACACGTTGCTTGGAGTATTGGAAGCAGACACCAAAAATGAATCGCGACTGGAAACAACTGGAAAGTATTGCCCCGGACAGAGTTGGATGGAGAATGCTAATGAACGGCCTATATTCCTCGTTTGAGAGCGAAGATCCTAGAACCTTAAATTACTAGGTAAATTTCATAGAGTTGAAAACACTTTCAGTCAATTACATAGTGAATTAACTGAATATACAATAATGTAATAACTGTTGTTATTAACCTATTCTATGTAAATTAATTGTTGAATAAATTTCATGAGGGAAACTTAATTAGTGCTGTCAAAGTGTTCGCTCATAAATTCAATCTGAAGGCAATGATTACTTGCCCATCTATGATAAATATCAGTGTAAATATGATATCAAAGGATGCTTTTGAAGAAAACTTTTAAATCTATTTATCCACTACTAGTGTATCTTTTGAAGTCTTACTGAATGTTTAATGCATTCAATCTTACATTCCTTTTTTCTAAAAAAAAATTTTTCTTTACAGAGAATTAAAAAGCTTATTCAACCTCATGAATGTATGGAACCTAATGAATATTTAATAGAAGATAAATCTATCATAAATAAGAAAATACCAGTCAGTTTATCAGATACATTCAATTCTTTAAAATCATCATCATCATCATCTTACTTAAAAAAAGTACAATCAACTCATTCAATTCCAAATTGTTCTAAAGTGAATACAAATGTATAATTACCATTTTAATTAATAAAACTTATTCATTTATTCAATGAATAAATTATTGACAATATTTAATATTTTTCATGGATCATTTTAATGAATTCATTATAGTTAAAAATTTGTATACATCAGTTTGGATACGATTTGTGCAACCAAAATTGATTTTATTTACAGGTTTCAATCAATTATTGATTATCAATAACTATTCTCATTAACAATATAAAAAAAATTTATTTATTTACTGGTTAATTAATAATTAATCTTAGAAAATTAGTATAAACTATTAATAGAAAGTTATTTTCATTTTATTCATTTATAATATCCACTATAAACGTATGTACCTTCCAATCATTTCTGCATAATAAGAAATAATTCCTATTCATAAACAAAATAGTTTAGAATAGTTTTATTCATATGAATTATGTGATAATCAAATTTGTGCGTTAACTACATCATGACAAATTAAGTCGTATTTTTGTGGTTATTGAATATTGTACAATTCATGATTTCAATAAAAATTCAACAATCTCCACAACTATAAACTGATAATCATTATTTACTTGCTAGTGAGTAGTTTCAAGAGGTGATACTTGGAGTCCTTGTGAGAAGCCGCAATCAGTGGAGTTGAAGCATTTAATCAACGAAATCAATGAAAGACGATTGGACAACATTGTGGAGTGGTTGAAATTATACACCGTCGGATCTTGGACCAATGGTCTAGAGGTTAAACAATCGCGCATGGGACCGAAGGCCTTGGGTTTGAATCCTATGTGCGAGATCATGGGTATGCACTGTCGAGGAATCCCTTACTAGAACGAAACGGCCATCCAGTGTAACCAGGTTCTCAATGGTGATCTAACGTGTATCGGTTTCTGATGTCAATAGACATAATTTAGGCCAGTTTGTCTTAAAAATAGATATCAGTTACAGCTTATTAAGAAACGTCGGTATTAAAAGATTTTTCGATCATTATGTGCATATTTTCTGGAATATTACTGTCGTTGGATCTTGGTTACTGATGGAATTATTACTAGTGATATACCTTTCATATCACGGACAACTGCATATCTTACTGTGACCAGGATGTCATATTAAATCATTCTAAAGGATAAGTTACACTGATTAATTAGTTCAATAGATATGTACTAATTGTCCCTTTCTTGCTAAATACGCCGGCGGTCCACCGAAATCTATCCTCGGTCACTGTTAAAGATAACTTTTGGAACATCTACAAAAACAATACTCCATAGCTTAAGTTCTTTACTGCATGACATGGGACATCCACTCTCGAATTCTAAACTTAGTAATGTTTATAATGCCCTAGCAAATAATCACCAGCTAACCAATTATCTTGTCATTCTGTTGATGAAAATACCTGTAACTGAAAACAATCTATCTGATGTATATTATTATATACTATTTATTAAAGTCGTTCACTGTTTACTAGAATGTCGTAAAAGCTGAAAATATTTCCACCTTTTTTAGTGAACTTTTAGTTCCTTTAAATCTGGATTCCATTTCGTCGTGTCACGTATTCTCATTTAGATTAGTACGGTTAAATGCTAATCTCAAACACTGTATAGAAGTAATTGAAGTATGACTACAGAAACTAGTGTGAATAAAACAGTGTATGAGATCACTGACTAACCTCCTAACTAGTATGGTCACTATTACTTGATGATGTTTTATATCAGCAGTCACATAACTAATTTAAGCTATAATATTGAACAATAGAGGCTTGCTTTATAGGTATTTATATACTTTCATTACTGTAAAGCTCTGTTTATTGAATCTAAGTTTTAAAAATAAATGAAACCAAGAAAATCAAAATTTCGTCACAAACCCAGCATAGATGAAATTTTCAATAAACGTAATATCAATATAACTATATAGTTAGTTTTTTAAAACGAGAACAAATCAAATTTATTTAAGATATTCTTGATATAGAAATGAAGAGATTTTATATTACAAGTAGTATATCAGTGAATAATTGAAAAAGTTGACATATTCCATGCAAACCTCACTAGCGCTATCAGTATTATTACTACGCCATAAATGCGAAGCAATATAAGCTGACTGATTGTCGACATGATTTTCAATCAGAATAATTTTTCTTATTTTCTGATAGTTGTGAAATAGTTTCGGACTTATGACTGCTGGAATTTGTTGTAGCTGATGAACAAATTGACAAATAAGATGAATTATATCTACAAATTAAAGGTAAATGTATACTTGGTTTCACTATAGATTTATTTGTGTCACATTGTCTTGTTGGATGTCTCATAATCTAACCACATTTAAATAATCGTTTAAAAAAAGAGGAATTTCTTTTGTGAGCTCGAAGCATATGTTTAGTACATATTTTGTGATTATGATGTGTGTTTAAATAAGATGTCATGGCAAATGTTGATAAAGCGTTAGTATGTTCCGTATTCTGTTGATATTTTGAACTTGTTTGTGATAAAGATGGATTGTTTGCGGAAGGTGATAATAATTTATCTTCATTATTATCATTATCGTCAGCATTAACATCATCATCATCATTATCATATCCTCCACAATTATCATCATTAACATTAACTTTTTGTCTAAATGACGAGGGTTTTATTGAAGCTTTAGTCTCATTTGATAAGTAGGAATTATCATTTAAATAAAGGTTGTCATTTTCAGGTATTTCGTCCAATTCATTTGAATAATTTGGTTTTTTAATGAATAACGTTGGCATCGGTTGGAGATGTAAACTAAGTTAAGGCAGATAATATTAATATTAGTAGTAATGTTAACAATTTTATGATGAATTCATAATAGATATAAGAAAGATTATGAAATCTTTAGTTGAAACTTTATTTAAGCACCATTTAAATTTCTGAATAAGACAAATATATGATTTTCCTCGAGTTTAATTGGGCAGTCTTCAAGAGGCTAGATAAGTTTATGGAATGTGTTATCATGGACTGGTATCAGCTAGAGAACCCAACCCAACAGGAGTCAAATTCATCACCGCAGACATAACAGAAACTCACAAATGACGAGCACTCACTAGATCTTCAAAAATTTATTTTTTAATCAAGTACCTAACTTTGCAATTCAAGTTAAAACCGGAAGCTAGATTACTAGTCTAGTGATTTGTGGTTAGTGAAAGTAAATGAGATTGTCCACCCACCGTGAACGGACATATATATCTTACTGAATATTTACTTTAGGATTTATTTCCCATTACTGTTTTATATTCCGGACTAAGTGAGGACTGTTAATAATTATGTTAACTAATGTAATGTCTTATATGTATTCTAGTTCTTCACTTTGGTCGGGAATCATGTACATGGTATAATGTGGTTCGAGTTTTTGTATAATATATCGAACGAGTATCTAACCTAGTGTTAGTTTAAAATTAAGTTCCAGTCTTGTTATCTTATTATAGAAGCATATCGAGGAAACGCAGAAATATTTTTGGTCTCTAATTATATCTCTTAGCGAACACTTTACTGAACTTGATGCTGACCAAAAGATATAACAGCGAAAGAGGACAAATTCATTATCATCTACAAAATAAATTACACTAAGTACTAAAAACACAGCATAAGGCATAGTTGACGCTTCGTTTGTTACGCACACATGAATAACAATTACATGAAATGATATGTCATCCATCACATCAATGCATGTGAAAAACCGTACACATGAGTTTGAATGGATAAAATTTAAAGAATATCAGAAAACTTCTGAAATCATGACATTCAGGTCAATCTCAATCAATAGGCATATACAAGTGGACCCTGTTCATCATTCTGTAAGGATAAGGCAAATCAATCACCTTTCTAAAAGCAAACCAAACGAGACAGACGTAGGTAACGAAACTTTTGAAGAGATCCATCCACAAACTTGTTTATCGTAGTGGGTTGATTTAGAGCCACTGAAGTGATTAAATAGTTCATTTCCAAATGAGGCAAATGCTGATGATGTTGTCTGGAACAACAACCAACAGTTCCTAGTTAAGCCACTGAGTTTAGAAAAGTCAACCCGACCAAAATTTTTTGCCCGAGATACAAATCTGATTCAGTATTTTATGTTCTCAATGTTGACAATGGGAATATTGATAATCATATATGTCCGAACTGTTAACTGATCAAGTGTTTTGACTATGACCTATGCTTTCTATATGTAATTGTCTTACAGCTAAATACATTGCGTATTAACTGACTGGTCGTTATCCTGAGAACTCTCAGTTTAGAATAGCAGTAGAGAATAAAATCTGTAGAATTCTCAACTTCTGAACTTGATACAAAAGGGAGTGACACACACGCACAATAGAGATAATATAACTATTGTCCCATAAGCAATAAATATCTACACAGATACATTCTCTACAGCTTTCAGTTCATCACAATTAAAACTGGTGAATTCTGATATTCTTAATCCATCCTCACTGTCATCAACTATAAACATAAACCATTAAATGCTTAAATAACAAACAATAATTTTCCGATAAGATAAACGTAAAATAATTCTTGAATTCAATAGACAATAGTCACCTAGTTGTGTATCGACATTTACGATTAGCATCACATACTACTGATATGAATCCTGATGTGAAGAAAGACATTGTGCTTAGCTTCATGAGTAATCAATTCGTATGTGATTACAATAAAATTTTAGTCACGATCACATTATAAACAAAGTGTTATTTTTGACAGGTTAAATAATAATCATAATATTTACTTCCAACTTACTGTTTTTTCGATTTAACTTCATTGTGAATCATTAAACACTGATCCTTGTTTATTCGAGTTAAATTAATAATATCATGATGATTTTGATTAGCCTCATTTAGTGGCATTTTGACGTGATCACCTATTACGCATTTGTATTTTGGTTTTATTTCATTAAAATGAACACGAGTTTTCACATTTGAGGAACTTATATGTTGATCTACTTTTGACATATTTCTTACAGATAGATTTTGATTCATCATTCGATTTAAAGAGGAACTAGACACCTGATTTCTTGATTCA